TAAGATCCATCATTGGCTTCTCGAGCTATGCTCTTAACACACCGACACGCGGCCCAAAACAAATAACATTCTTGGCGAACCTTCAGACAAACCCTTAACGGTTGCGACTGCCTAGGCCTTATTGAGTTTAGACCTTGAAATTTTGAAAGATGTCCAAATCGTCGATATTCATATCATTCCGACCGATGTAAAATTGTATCGAATTCCATAAATGAATCGTGATCAGTGAAACGTTTTCACCTATCACGATACATCACATTACATTACATTACAGGTTCGCTACATACCAGTGATGGGTACTTCACAAGTTTCTCCTTCGTAGCCCTCGTCACAGGCGCAGGTGAAGTTGTCTGCCCCGCTCGTACAGGTCCCATTGACGCACGGGTCTGGGCGGCAATAATCCACAGCTTCCAGAAGTTCATGTATGGGGAGAATGGAACGATTTTGAATGGAACTATAAAATAGTAGCCGGAAAAATTTTTTAAGGTTGTCCTGAAATGTTCAGAACTTACTTAAACAAACAACTTTCACAAATGTAAATAAATTTGCAAATATTGCAAAATATTGCAACATGAGCACAACCATGAAAAGCTATTGAATTGATAATATGCAATAATTAGGTAGAATAAGAAACAAGTGTGCACATTTTAGTCATGTGAGCTGCGGTCCATCGTAATGCAAATGCAACCAACATGCCAGTCAGTAGCTGCCCGCTTCGTTGATATGCAAAGTATGGAGTGAAACCGCTCCATACAGTATACCATAGCTATATATGTATAAAGTAACTATAGCGAAGGCCTACCCGAAAAGACTTGGACTTGACACAGAGTCAGTATTCGGGAGGGTCCGGGAAGACGGACGCCCACATACCGCCCCCTCATCCCCTGACAGGAGACGGAAATGGACGGCTGGTTCACGTCGATTTGATGATCACCGCCACACTTGGGGTTCTCGCTGACCTGGTCGGAATCCCCGATGTGGATGTTGAAGGGGTTGAGTCGTTCAGCACAACAGTCCTGGCGGTTGAAGATGGCCACTCTGTAGATATTGAAAACAAAGCAATGATACTGGAGTTTACATACTAAATTTTAGTGTTCGGATGTACGTTACTGCGTTATCATGGAACTTATTTAAATAGACCACCCATCACCATCATCGCGAATGGTATTGGGACTTGCATCAAGAGTCTTTCCTTTGCCAAGTTTTGATTTATATATTGACGTGTCTGTGTGTGTGTGTGTGTGCGCGCGCGCGCGCGTGTGTGTGAGTGTTTGTGTGCGTGCGTGTGTGAATGGAGGTGCGTATGAGTGCGTACGTGTACTTAATGCTCATACATATATCTACATATCAAAGAATTACGTGCATATCATATAAAAGATATATGTGCTGTACACTCACCTGTCAATCATGTACGATTGACCAAGATCCACCCACCAGCTTGGATCAGCCTCTAATGCAGTGGCTGTACAGTAACCAGCGAGGTAGTTGCTATTGGTGTTCCCGTTAACAGCAAATCTTGCAGCCCCCCTACCACTGCTCTGGTCCTCATAGTCACTTGTTTGGAACGCTGCCTTCCCCAGGGCGACATTGACACCTGTCGTAGGTGAGAGAACTGTCATTATCAGTACCAGATTTACATCGATGAATGGAGTTGAACGAAGGTTTCTATTCCTAAGACTTTTCCCGGGTTTTATTTTCTTCAGCGACCCGAAAAGTCATATTTGACACACACACACACACACAGACACACAGACAGACGCGCCCAAAACAATACCTCCATTTTTCATGGAGGTAATAAATGGGTACGTGACTGGCATGAGTGCTGTAGCAGCGACAAGTGGACCCTCCGAGGGTTACTGGTATCTGACGTTTGCCTACGAAGCCTTCGAGGTTTAGGCGTAACGAAGAATTATTATGCTGAATTTAGGATGACAAATAACGCTCTATGTTAAAATAAAACGACCAATAACGCTTCACGACGAATATACTGATAACGCTTTACGCTGAATTACAGCGGGCCAGCAACGATTAACGGTGAATTAAAATAGCCCATAACGCCTAACGAACAAGAATTCAGAGATTTCATACCTCCATGAAATATATGAGTCTTTGTAAATGATTTTTATTTGTCTCATTGACAATGGAAATAAGGTCATAAGTAGCATAATCTAGTTTAATTTATGGTTTTCTAAATTCAAATGACAATATTTTTGTTTTCTTTCAAAATACCTTTGTCATACTTCATTTCAACATGTCCTCATTAATTATGCAAATGACCCCTACATTAACACAATATTTGTATAGTGGTGTTAACCTTTAAGAAACTTACACATGTCACAGGGTATAAAATTCTCATCACTCACCAATAAGGTGTCACAGAATTTTTACATTAATTATGCAAATTAGGTCATAATTTGCATAATTGGTATCTGTTGATGTTCCGCCTGCCACAGATTAAATAGATTACATGTATAGCAGTACCTTTATATAAAACACTGTAATTATAGAATTTCCTCATTAATTATGCAAATTAAGTCCTCATTTGCATAATTTGCATTTAATCATGTACAACTCTCTCTCAGCTACCTACATACCAAAAATGATGAAAATACGTTGTTCCTATCTGGACTTATTGGCTTTAAAAGTTTTTACCAGAAACTAACCTGCAGTTCCAGAACAAGCTGCTAGGGGACCAATCTTACACCACTTATTCCTGACAGGATAAGCTATCTGTCACTGTCTTAAATAAGTTAACATTTTTGAAGGCTTTAGAAACAATACTATCGATATGAAAATACCAAGAACTAAGAATAATCCCAGAGTGAGACGCTGCCAAAATATAACCTTCTTGGCGAAAGTCACAATATATGGTAGAATTTACCTGGACAGAGCACTTCTGTGTCACAGTCTTGTGTCTCCTGATCCAGTCCATCACAGTCCGCCCCACCGTTAGCTGGTGGCGGATTGGTGCAGGTTCGGTCCCGAGTCTGTGTACCGACTCCACACGTCACACTGCAGGCAGACCATGGGCTCCAGTCGGACCAACCGCCATCAACTACACGGAAACAGACATCCGTAAATAATTTCACCAGGTTGGTAAACGACTGAATAGCAAAGTTCTTTTTATCATAAACATTTATTTTTCATGAGCCGACGTTTCGATGACCGTCTGTCATCTTCATCAGGGCTGACTGGTTTACTGTGCACTGACACTAGATGTTACTTGGTGCATAGTGCACTAAAGGTGTTACATAGTTCATACTGCACTTAAGCTATTTTTTTCTGTTTATAATACATTCCGGAACGTAGTGTAATTGTACATTTATACATTTTGCTTGAGGGCGAAGGTGCATAAGTGTCGTAGTATTTGTGAAGATATAAATGGGATGTCTGAGAAGCATGATGTGATAGTCATCCTATGTGGATAGGCCAGGTAGACAGCCTAGCCTTTTCCGTAACCCCAACATACGAGCATCACATAAAACACAATCGCCGCCCCCCCCCCCCATCCCCACGGTGCCATCCAACCATTCCGTGACCTACCTGGCTCAGCTTCGCAGAGGAAACATCTGTCTGTTAAACAGGTCCGGTCGTTCCATTTATTTCTGTTGTGTTTTTCATGGTAGGTAGCGGGACGGTACTCGGCACAATCTTCAATTCCTCCGGCATTGTTCGGCTCATTTTCGGCCCAGTTCATGTATCCTGTTAACTCTCCACCGTCTACGTAATTCCACGTTTCATTCCTACGGTGCAGTCCGAACCGGAATTCACACCTAGTGCTGACGTTGTTTTTCAAAGCGACAAGGAAGTTATTGGTTGTGCTGTCGCGAGGCATGGCTAAACTGTCGCCGTCAGCGAGACACGTAGCCACAGCCTCGTCGTAGGTATTCAGTATACCGTAGGCTCGGTAACACCGGTGAGTGTGTGCGAGGTACGAGTAGTTATCAGGACACCCTGCAGTAAAACAGAAATACAAACGTCACACTTATTTCTTCATACCTG